GTAGTGAGTACATTGGTCTTCATCCCATTATTCTTCACATGTTTAAAAAATTTGTAATAAGAAGGAACTGTATTTTTTAAAATATATTTTATTGATTTTTCACAGAGAGGAACAGAGAGGGATAGAGAGTTAGAAACATCGATGAGAGAGAAACATCGATCAACTGCCTCTTGCACATCCCCTATTGGGGATGTGCCTGCAGCCAAGGTACATGCCCTTGACCAGGATCAAACCTGGGGCCTCTCAGTGTGCAGGCTGACTCTCATTCCACTGAGCCAAACCGGTTTCAGCAGGAACTGTATTTTTAAAAGAATTCTGAATTGTGGTATGTTGGACTTAGGAGTACTGAACTCTTTGGTGTCAGGAGGGGTTCAAGATGATCTAGTGTGTCTGTTACACCCGGGATCTCACCCAGCTAGCGTCCAGCCTCTGTCTGTGTACTTCCTACACTGAAGAGGCCCAGCGCTGAAAAGGAGATGAACTTCAGGAGTGGATCAGGTCAAGAAACAAACATAACCCTCATCTGTAGAAATTACTCACAGGGAAGAGAAGTGACCTAGGGTCACATGGGAAGAGCTGATAGCAAGTCAGGGGGACAAGGAGAGAACCTAAGGGGGCACCAGGCCTGCAAGATCACACATCCCTCATGCTCTCCCCTCCAGAATCTTCTCCTTCTCACCACGTCCCCTCATTGTTCATAATCCAGTCCTCCAATCCCTCTGAGACATCTGCACCACATCTTTCTTTAGCTCCAGCAGCACACATGCCTGAGCACATGGACCATGTACCTACATATGCATATGCTTGGGCCTGTGTACCTATCAGGTACTTGGGAGTAATTAGCAGTGGGCTGTGTGGCTACCCCTGGGCCTAGCCCAGGCCACAGCATCACTATTGCCGGATGACTCTCAGCCTCTTCTTGGCTTCTCTGCTTCCACCTCATTCTCTCCATGCTCCACATTGCAACCAGGAGTGAGGGCGGTCCTTCTGAAGCACAGAGCTGACCCCGTCACTCCTGCACACGGAAGAGCCAATATGTGTCACAGACAAATTAATATATTTATGCCTGTGGATTCCAGCATCAGTGTGTGAGCATGTGTACATGTGTGTAGATATCCTTTTTGTTTTTATATATATTTTACTTTCTGATTGGGTAATAGCTGGACAAGGAGGGTTTTTTTTACAAAAGTCTGACCTCTGGAATGGTGGAGGAAGGACTTTCAAAAATCGGCTGATAAACAGCAGTGAGACCACTGGAAGAACCCTCAGATACACTGTTTTTGAATGTTGGAAATGAAAGACAACAATTTGAGGTGTAGTTATTCAAGAAAAGTGGCTGAATCTTGGTTAAAAAAAAAAAAAAAAGCAGTGAGTGTTACGATGTTTTTCACTTGCCTTAATTTCACCCCCTCTGTCCAGTTTCATGGCCATCTTGAAAAATCAAGTCTTGCAACCACAATAACTGTGTAAACCAGCAGTTGAGCAGCAACTAGAGAGGGCGGAGCAGGTTTGGAGCCCCTCAAAAGCCCCGTCCCCAGGCACTTGTCAGCATTTTTTAAAATTATTTTTAGAGAGAGGAAGGAGAAAGTCAATGTGGGAAAGAAACATTGATGTGAGAGAGAAACAGCAGTTGATTTCGCACAGGCCTGGACCGGAGATCGAACCCACAACCTGGGTATGTGCCCTGACGGGAAACGGAACCGGCCACCTTTGGTATGCAGGACAACACTCCAACCAACAGAGCCACATTGTGCAGGGTGGGACTTCTCAGTGTTTGCATTGTCTGGCAGCTTGCTCAAAGCTTCATTCCCAGGACTTTTCTTTGGCCTGAATCAGAGATCTCTCCATGCAAAAGTCCTATCTCCAAGGGCATTTGTCAATGACCATTAGATGCAATTGTTGAGCATCACAGCTGCCTGAGGCAGCCATACCAGTTGGAGCTCAGAAGAGACTAACCAAAAATCTTAAACAATGTCACTCCAATAAATTCCATTAAAATAAGAGTTACAGTATTCACATTCTATAGGATGATTACGAAGTATTTCAAATATGCTTTCAACTAAAGTTAGATTATCACTTAAGAAATGCCACCATTTGTTTTAAAATAAAATGATAAACTAAATATATATATATATTGAGGGAATGGGTAAGGGACTTTGAAAAGTTCTAACATATTCCTGGCAATTTGGAAGGCCATGTTCATGTGCATGCCTACGAAATATGAGAAGATCATAACCTTTTGCCTCCGGTTGAACTGATGCTCTGTGTAAGCAGAATGAAGGCTAAGGCAGAATTTAAATTCCCCACAGAGCCCCTTGGCAAAGGCTGTGAGAGTTATTAATTCAGGGCACTTAAGAAAACCTTTTTCCATGCATTAGCTGACCACTAAGCTCACTGAGCAGAGACTTCAGTGGCCACACATGACAAAGAATACAGACTTTGCAGAATTAGTCCAGGAAAGTCAGTAAGCACACAAACAACAACAAACCCTGGGAGGAAGCAGATGGGACTGATTTTCAGCGCTCTCTGTCCAGCAAAATCATCCTTCAAAAAGGAAGGAGGAATTAAGACATTCCAGATATATTTTTAAAAATATATTTTATTGACTTTTTACAGAGAGGAAGAGAGAGGGACAGAGAGCTAGGAATATCGATGAGAGAGAATCATTATCAGCTGCCTCCCGCACACCCCTCCACCGGGGATGTGCCCACAACCAAGGCACATGCCCCCGACCATAATCGAACCTGTGACCCTTCAGTTGGCAGGCGGACGCTCTATCCACTGAGCCAAACTGGTGTCAGCTAGATATTTTAAAAAACACTAGAGGATATGTCACTAGCAGACCTGCTTTACAAGAAATATTAAAGAGAGTCCTTCAGGCTGAACTGAAAGGACACTGAGCAGTCATAACTGAAGTCTGCATGAAGAAACAGAATGCAGAAATAAAGAGGAAAGATAAGTACGTAGGTAAATACACAACAGCATGAATGTAATTTTGTTTGTAACTTTTCTTATTTAAAGGACAACTGCATAAAGTAATAATTATAAAACGATGTTAATGGGCTTTAATGTATAAAGATGTAATTGTATGACAACAATAGTGCAAAGGAGGAGGGAGGGAATAGAGCTCTTTTAGAGCAGTTTTTGTATATTATGGAAAATAAATTGGTATTGGTCCACACAGAATTGTTTCAAGTTAAGATGTTAATTGTAACAATCAGGAAATGACTAAGAAAATAACTCAAAAATATAATAAAATACAAAACAAGAATTAAAATGGTATACCAGAAATTTTCCACTTAGCACAAAATAAGGCAGTATTGGAGGAACAGAGGAACAAAAAGACATAAGACGTAAGAAAATAAAGCAAAATGGCACACATAAATCTTAGTTCATCAGGAAAAAGATGGAAAAGTATATAACATGCAAACAGGAACCAAAAGAGAGCTGGAGAAACTATCCTAATACTAGACAAAATAAACTCTAGACAAAAGTTGTTACTAGAAACAAAGAAGGACATTTTATAATGATAAAAGGGTCAATTTATCAGGAATACATAGCAATTATAAACACACATGCACCTAATGAATATATAAAGCAAACACTAACAGAATTGAAAGCAGAAATAAACAATTCTGCAATAATAGATGGACACTTCAGTACTTTACTTTCAATAATGGTAAGAACAACTATGCAAAAGATTAACAAGGAAATAAAAGACTTGAATAATACTATAAACTAATCCTAACAGAAATCTATAAAATACTCCCATCAACAACATTCTTCTCAAGTACACATGGAGCATTCCCCAGGATAGATCATGTGTTGGGTCACAAAAGAGGTCCCAATATATTTAAAAGAATTCACATCACACAAAGTATGTGTTTTGACCAGATGGAATTAAATTAGAAATTAATAATGAAATTATTTAGGGAAATTATGAATATGTGGAAATTGAATAAATCACAAGGAAAAATTAGGAAATATTTTAAGATGAGTGAAAAGAAAAACAACATAAAAACTTATGGGATGCTGCTAAAGCAGTGCTTAGAGGGAAATAGATAGCTGTAAACATCTATATTGAAAAAGACAAATCAATGATAAACTAGAAAAAGAAGAACAAATTAAACCCAAAGCAAGTAGGGGAAGTAAATAATAAAAACTAGAGAGGAAATAAAGGAAATATCACTTTATACCTGTTAGGATGAATATAATAATTTTAAAAGGGCAGTATAGGTGTTGGCAAGGATTTGGAGAAATTGGAATCTTCATACTCTGTTGATGTGAATGTAAAATGGAGCAGTGAACTGAAAACAAAGTGGGAGTTTTTCAAAAGGTTAAATATAGAGTTACCAGATGGCTCAGCAATTCCACTATTCGGTAGATATCCAAAACAAAAGAAGACATATCTTCACACAAAAAATTATTCATGTATAATTATAGCAACATTATTCACAATAGCAAAAGATGAAAACAACAAAAATATCCATCGACTAATGAAAGGGTAAAAAATGTGGTATATTCAAACAATGGAATATTACTAAGACCTGAAAAGGAATGAAGTATGTACTTACATGTTACAACATGGATGAACCTTAAAAACATTCTGCTAAGTGGAAGAAGCTACCCACAGGCCATGAGTTATATCTTTCCATTTAGATGAAATATCCAGAAAAGGAAACTCCATGGAGACAGAAAGCAGATGAATGGTTGGCTGGGGCTGGGTTCGGGAAGGAATTGGGGGTTGGGGGGGAAGGGGTGACTGCTAATTTGGGGGATGATGAAAATGTCCTGGAATGAAATAGTAGTGATGACTGCATAACTTTGTGAATACATGGAAAACACTGAGTGTATAATTTGATTTATTTATTTTAAAACAGTAATAATTTTACAATTCATTTCATGACAACTGGTAATCATGAAATTAGCAGAGGTTATCTTTAAGTTATTGTACTAGCTGTACTGTCATTTCTGGAGGTTAATCATATAGATCAGACTTGGTTTATTACCAGCATTCATAAAACCAGACCCAGAAAAAGAACTAGGTCTGGGACCACATGCTTGGTATTAATACAGCAAATGTTTAGCCTGTCCTGATTATTACAAAATCAGAACTGTGACTTTATTCACAGTGAACATATAATTTTAAAGGATAAATTTTATGGCATGTAAGTTATATCTCAACAAAACTATTATAAACTAAAAGTATCCCTCCAATGCCATTTCCCTTGGTTGTTTTTTTTTTTTTTTTTTTTTTTTTTGTGTGTGTGTGTGTGTGTGTGTGTGTGTGTGTGTATCCTTTGGGGAATACTATCATCCATTATGTCATATGGATGCAATAAAGAGAAAGCAAAAAACAAAATAAATTTTTTTGTTGTGATGAGAACTCTTAAGATTTACTCTCTTAATAACTTTTGTAATATTATATAGCAGTGTTAACTATAGTCATCATGCTGTACATTATTGTATCCCTAGTACTTGCTTATCTTGTAAGTTTGTACCTTTTGATTACCTTCCCCCAATTCTTTTTTCCCCGTTCACCAGCCTCCCCTTTCTCCCCATGCTTCTGATAACCACAAATCTGATCTCTTCTATGAGGTTTTGTCAGATTCCACATATAAGTGAGATCATACAGTAGGTCTTTCCTTGTCTGATTTATTTCACTTAGCATAACGCCCTCAAGTTGCTTCCTCGTGGTCTCAGATGTCAGGATTTCTCGTTTTTTTTATGATTGAATAATCCATTATATCTCTCTCTCACAACTTCTTTATCTATCCATTCATTGGCAGACTCTTAGATTGTTTTCACATCTTGGTCATTATAAATAATGCTGTAAGGAACAGGGGTTAATTCTTTTCAAGTCAGTCTTTTTGTCTCCTTTGGGCTTATTCCCAGAAGTGGAATTGCTGAATCATATGGTAACTCTATCTTTAATTTTTTTCAACTTTTAGAAACGATTTCTTTTCTGTCGGCCTTATTTCCATTCCCTTAAGAGTTTATGGAAGAACAGTTAAGACTGCACAGTGGTTGTTCTTACCCTTTCAGTGGCCTGAGCAGTGGAGGCTGCAGATCAGTCTTCAGCGGCCGGCTGAGCACTCCAGACTTCAGTAGAAAACTGTTGGACAGGGATGGGGGTAGGACGTGTGTAGGGGAGGGTGGGAGGCCTAAGCAGCAGTGAACCCGGGAGCTGGAACAGTCCACTCACCCTGAAGTTCCTCCTTGGTCTACTTTTAATGTTTTGAGAATCCTCCACACTGTTTTCCATTGTGGCCACACCAACTTACAGCCTGTGCGCAAGGCTTCCCTTTTCTCCAGGTCAGGGCCAGCAATTGTTATCTCTTCTTTTCTTTTTTCTTTCTTGCAATATGGCTTTATTAAGATATCATTCGCATACCCTATAATCCACTCACTTAAGGTACATCATCCAGTGGTTTTAGTACATTCACAGAGTTGTGCAACCATCACTACAGTCAATCTGAGAACGTTTTCATCGCTCCACAAAGAATGCTATACTGTTGGCAGTCGCTCCCCATTCCCCCTAACCCTCACACCCCCCTTGCCCATGGCAGCCACTAATCTACTTTCTGACTAGATATTTTGTGAGTGGCTTTTGGTGTTTCCCAGGCTGAACTGTTTCCAATTTTACTAAATTAACTGCAATTGTTATCTCTTTGTCTTTTTGACGATGGCCATTTTAATAGGAGGAAGGTGATATTCCGTTGTTTGGCATGTTGTTGATTTTTACCCCTCTTATACCTGTTTTTGAGAGTACACATAGTGGGGAATGCCCTGTGTGGAGCAGACATTGTCAGTGCCACTCCTGTGCCTGGCCTATCTTGTGTATCCCGCCTGCAGGAACAGCTCCTGCCTGTGCCCATGGCTTTCTCCATGGAAGGCTGCCTCCTGGCTGTGCTCAGTCTAGAAGTGCAGGAAGGTTAATGTTCGGGAGCCACACTCAACCAATGAGGGATAGGAGTTTTAGAGAAATAACTAAACTTCCTTACTCTTCCAATTCCGGTGTGTTCCACACCACCTCAGAGTGTCTAGTAGAACTAACTCCTACTCCCTCCGACTCCCAACCTCCTGTCTTCCTCCTGCGATCCCAAAGCAACTGCTAAATCCCTGTCTTAGAGTCTTCGTTGCTCAGAACCCAGCTTTAGACGCTGTGTGCATGTGTGAATCCGGGTGCACACGTGTTCTTGTCAGTGAGCATGCAGGAATCAAAGTGTGAATGCATGCAGGTGTGTGCCTGTAGGAACTATTCTGTATGAGAACTGGTGTGAGTGTGTGTGCATGTCAGTGTCCACACACACGTAGGTAGTTGTCATATGGTGCCTAGATGGACCCTCAGGTCTATTTAAGGCCATGTCTGTGCACACACATGTGCCAGCGAGGTCAAGGGAGCCAGACAAGGGCCCCGTGAAGCTCTCTGGTGATTAAGAGCCTCTTGCCAGGCAGTGCTGGGAGGTGGGCAGGGTGAGCACTGTAATAGGGCCTGTCTCCCGTCCCTCTTCCCCTCCGCAACCACCTGTCTGGAGACAACCTCATCAGTTTGGTCTCAGATGTGTGTTCTCTCCTAAGGGAGACAGCTGGAGCGGCTGTCACAGGCATCAGCGGTGATAGCGGGAACTGCCTGGCACCTGTCGGCAGCACCTAATCGCTGTCCTGGTGATGGCTGTGAGAGGAAGCAGGAAGGTGACAGAGGGCGGCTCTTCGCTCCACTGCTCCTTGGCCCCTCTACATAGAGGGTGAGCCCCAGGTCCCGAGCATTGATCGCAGACCCGTTCCCCAGTCCACCCCCAGTGGACTGGTGTCGCTGGCTTTGACTCCAGCCTCTTCCACTCACCGTCTTCCAATCAGGCTGATTTGGAGGACAGGCTCACGCCTTCCTGTATTTCCTGCTCACTCTGCCTCCGAGGCTTCGGCTTCCCTCTTCTGCCGGCCGAACTCTTTCCAGGGCCAGCTCTCAATCCCTTTCTTCAGACCGACAGCTCCTCCTGCTTCACCCAGACTCATCCTTCCTCCCAGACTCCACAGAACTCTGCACATTCCTCTGCTATTACGCATGCCGGTTGTCCGGAAGGAGAATTCAGGTGGATGCCTGCATTTAACTCAATCCCAATGTTTGAGGCTCAAGGAGGAAGACCAGGTGGGCTCAGGTGCCCTCAGCCGAAGGGGACAAGGGCCAGAGACAGGACAGGGTCTAGACCCCAGGAAGACAACTCTGTTGGTATTAAAATGAAACCACCTGCCCAGCCTGCGTGGCTCAGTAATTGAGCGTCAACCTATGAATCAGGAGGTAGTGGTTCAATTCCCGGTCAGGGCACATGCCTGGGTTGTGGGCTCGATCCTCAGTGTGGGACCTGCAGGAGGCAGCCAATCAGTGACTCTCTCTCATCATTGATGTTTGTATCTCTCTATCCCTCTCCCTTCTTCTCAATAAAAAAATATTTAAAACAAACAAACAAACAAGGAGACCACCTGCTGGTGTGAGGAGAGAGGGCTCAAGGGCATGGTGAGGGGCCCAGAGCCCTCATGACCTCCAAGAGTAGGGGCTGCTGACCATAGGGCAGGGTGTCGGGGTCCTAGGAAAAAGGCGCAGAAGTCAGGACAGGGTGCAGTCCAGCAAAAACTGGAGTAAAATCCTCATATTTCTGATTGAGCCCACCACTCCCAAAGGAGACTGGAGCTGCTGGGCCTGGGTTCAAATCCCAGCTCTTCCACTTATCCACTGTGTGACCTTTGGAGGGTCACTTGACCTTTCAGAGCCTCGGTTGCCACTGTTATAACACGAGGACAGTAGTGCTCGATTTAAGGAGAGGAGTTGGGGAAGGTCTAGCAGAGAGACTGGCAATGCACGTGCTGTACTCCATTCTGGGGAAAGACAGCCACAGCGCTGTCCACACGGGCTGCCTGAACAAGCTCAGGGAAACTCTGCCAACTCCAGCTCCTATTGCTGGCGGGCAAGGGCTCCTGGCAGCCTGTAGGCAGCATGCACTTGATTCCTGACTCCCTTCTCCTGACCTCGCTTTCCTGTCTTACAAACTGGAGCCATACTAGCAGCGCCCCCTTATGGGGCTGTTTGTTAGAATGAACTGCTACGGGAGTGAATTCCTCGTTAATTGCTATGAATGTTAAAACGTAATTGCTGAAAGAGTTAATTGTTTTAAAGCACATAGAGAGCATTCAGTATTTATCAGATATAGTTATTGTCTTTATCGACATTCGAGTACCTGCTGTGTCACACTTCACGCCAGGAGAGCCTTGGGAGAGAGTGCAGACCTGGTCCATAAGCACGCAGAGCCCATTTGGGGGTTGGCAGGGGTGGGGGAGAGAAGCACCCAAATTATCTGAGAAAAGTACATAACCCTATAAGACCGCGTCAGAAAAAGCTGAGGCGTGGGAAGGCTTCCTGGAAGACAAGGCCTTTGATTGGTACTTTGGTGACTGGGAATACAACCACAGTGCAATGAATGTGTATTGAGCACTTCCTATGTGCCAGGCACTGTAAATGTGTTGCCTGCAACATCTTATTTAAAGCTCATCATAGCAATAGGTAGTAGAGACTACTATACCCATTTTATAGATGTAGAAACTGAGGCTTAGAGAGAGAAGACATCTGCCAAGATCACCTGGGCCTGAATTTGAATTCTCAATTACGTGAGCTCTGAAGCCCCACACTGCTCCTCCCTCCAGGTAGAGGAATGTAAAGTTGCAGAATTAGGAAGAGGATGGGAACAAGCATTAACTGCACACCTGTTCCACAAGTATGTCAGGACCTGGGCAGGGCATTTTGCCTACTTGATTACATGCAAATCTTAGAACAAGCCACATGCGGTAGATAGTATTTTACCTCCATTTTACAAACGAGGCAACTGAGGCTTACAACAGTTGAGCATTTTGCACAAGATCCAACAACTAGGAAGTGGTGGCATTGGAATCTGACTGTAGGCAGTCCAATTCCCAAGCCCATATTATTTCTCCAACACCAAAGGTGTGTCCTGGGAACAGAGAAGTAATTATCCAATGCGGCTAAAGATGTGGGTCCCTGGAGGGAATGAAGCATTAAGCAGTTGGGGCTGGACTGTGGAGGGCTAGGTGCTTGTTCATGCCATTCATACAGTTGGCAATG